CATCAACATTGTCGTGATTGGACACGTCGACTCCGGCAAGTCCACCACCACCGGTCACTTGATCTACAAGTGCGGTGGTATCGACAAGCGTACCATTGAGAAGTTCGAGAAGGAAGCCCAGGAGATGGGCAAGGGCTCGTTCAAGTACGCATGGGTTTTGGATAAATTGAAGGCCGAGCGTGAGCGTGGTATCACCATTGATATCGCTCTGTGGAAGTTCGAGACTGCCAAGTACTACGTGACCATCATCGATGCTCCCGGCCACAGAGATTTCATCAAGAACATGATCACTGGTACCTCCCAGGCCGATTGTGCTGTATTGATTGTTGCCGCTGGTACTGGTGAGTTCGAGGCCGGTATCTCCAAGAACGGTCAGACTCGCGAGCACGCTCTGCTTGCTTTCACCCTGGGTGTCAAGCAGCTGATTGTTGGTGTCAACAAGATGGATTCATCTGAGCCACCATACAGCGAGGCTCGTTATGAGGAAATCAAGAAGGAAGTGTCTTCGTACATCAAGAAGATCGGCTACAACCCGGCGGCTGTTGCCTTTGTGCCCATCTCCGGATGGCACGGCGACAACATGTTGGAACCATCGACCAACATGCCTTGGTTCAAGGGATGGAAGGTGGAGCGCAAGGAGGGTAATGCTGAAGGCAAGACCCTCATCGATGCCCTCGATGCTATCCTGCCCCCCTCCCGCCCAACTGAGAAGCCCCTGCGTCTGCCCCTGCAGGATGTCTACAAAATTGGCGGTATCGGAACAGTACCCGTCGGTCGTGTGGAGACTGGTGTCTTGAAGCCTGGCTGCGTTGTTGTGTTCGCCCCAGCTAACATCACCACTGAGGTTAAGTCCGTGGAGATGCACCACGAAGCCCTCACCGAGGCCGTTCCTGGTGACAACGTTGGTTTCAACGTTAAGAACGTCTCCGTTAAGGAGCTGCGTCGTGGCTATGTTGCCGGTGACTCCAAGGCCAGCCCCCCCAAGGGTGCCGCCGATTTCACCGCTCAGGTCATCGTGCTGAACCACCCTGGCCAGATTGCCAACGGCTACACTCCAGTGTTGGATTGCCACACCGCTCACATTGCTTGCAAGTTCGCTGAGATCAAGGAGAAGGTCGACCGTCGTTCCGGCAAGACCACCGAGGAGAACCCCAAGTTCATCAAGTCTGGTGATGCTGCCATCGTCAACTTGGTGCCCTCCAAGCCTCTGTGCGTTGAGTCCTTCCAGGAGTTCCCTCCTCTAGGTCGTTTCGCTGTCCGTGACATGAGACAGACTGTCGCTGTCGGTGTCATCAAGGCTGTCAACTTCAAGGATGCTTCCGGTGGCAAGGTCACCAAGGCCGCCGAGAAGGCCACCAAGGGCAAGAAGTAGCTGGTTTCTATCAATAATAACAACATTATGATGAAGCAGCAGCCAGAACTCAACAGCAGCAACAACAATAGCAACAACAACAGCAGTAACAACAACAATGATAAGCACAACAGTAGTCGAACACAAACACCTGTCCTGCGCAAGATGAATGATAAGATGATGTTCCAGCAAAAGCAAAAATTTAATTTTTTCCATCGTAAAGAATTTCGTCGGATACGAATGTTAAACGCCATCGCCGCCTAGACGATTGAGTGGGAAAATGGAGCACACACCCAATTGCAGATTTCAAGAAACAAAATTAAATATTTACCCTCAATCTTAAGTTTACCTACCACATAAATATATATATGATATTATAGTAAATTGATTTTATAATGATATCATATTTTTTCATAGTTCGTATATAATTTGTGTAGCGGCAGTAGCGCAGGCGTGTAGCATTTATATATCGTGTATTCGTTAAAATTAAAATTTTGATTTTTTATATCCCTTATTTTTGTTTTGCACACTACTTTGTACACTATATAAAAACAACATTGAAACAATACTAGAAGCGAAAAGATAAACTTATTTACAACAAATAAAACCACATTTTGTATTTATTTTTTCCCCACAATGAAACATTTTTATGTTTTGCTTTTGCTTTTCAGCCATTGCTTTATCATTTTGTCACTTCATCCGCTGCCAAACGTGAAATATGAAAGTACAAACGGAACTGCTTAACTATACAACAGAACTTTACCTCATTTAAACATAATAAAGTGAAGGTTATATTTGCAACTTGGAACACAACTTGTCTTTAATTTGAATATGTTAAATATAACTAATTTGAAATATATACAATTCTTGACGAATGAAACGATTAAAAGGAGGAAACCTGGTTGGGGTCAAAACCTTCAGTGCAATTATATATATGGCTAAGCAGGACACGTAATTCTATTTGCTGATCACCAGAGCTGGGTCCTTAAAGCAGGGTTTGAGATTTTGCCGTGTTTGATGGTGGTATTGTTGGTACTGCGGCAGTTGGTCCTCCTGGTCCGGCACCGGGTCCTCGTAGCGTATGCCAAACGGCGTTACAATGGCACTTTTCATCAGATATTTGCCAAACCTTTGCACCTGCATTGCCGATATGCTGTCCAGCACCCACAGTGGCGACAGGTAGATGCGATCATCCTCAGCGCGTCTCTTGTCGCCCACAACAAATTTGGCCTTGTAGCGATTCTCGGTCAGCTTGGCACCACCCAAAAGCAGCAGCTCCTTGATGTTGTTGAATGTGATGGGTCGACAGAGCGAAGACACGTAGAAGACCTCCATAAAACGGAACAGTTCACAGCGATAGGATGAGCCAAAGGCTTGACGTTCCGCGCGGCAAATCTAGTGGGGGCCGGTTAACAAATTATGACACTTTTAATAGTAGTTTCTTAATAGCTCACCTCAACGGCCCGTGAGAATGAGCTCAGTTCATATTTCTCTTCGTTCAGCCATTTGCCAGCATGAATTGAATCTACTATCCACTTGAAGTTAACAATCCAAACGCCTCGCATCAAACCACGCAATAGATTCAACGTTCTCCTCGGCTCCAGACTAACCAAATGGGTCGTTCGCTTGGTCACTGTGGGATCCAGACGCATGCCACGGAGCTTGCGTATGGCCTGGGATGGCGTGACAAGCAATTGAGAATGTCGGGATGGGGACGAGCGGGTACAATAGAATCAATGGATGGATGCATGAATATATTGGTTAATTAATGACTAGAGCCATTAATAGAGCACAAAGTGGAGTCAACTCTTGTTTTGTATTAATATTTTGATGTATAATTTATTTGTGTGAAACGCGCTGTTGCTTTACGACTACCGCAAGTTCAGCTATGTTTTATCAATAATAATTACGAACAACAATCAGACTCGAGAAACTCAATAACTATAGAAATACAAATTAATCAATTCAGGTGATATAGAACAAATTTTGCGCATAGAATACATATACATAGGGTACATATAGAGAGAGAGAGAGAAAATCTATACATATCTATAATCTATAACTAGATCTATATACTAAGCGAGTAGAGTTTCTCAAGTCAAGGCCAGGATGTTGTGCTACCAACCTTGTGGATGATTTGCACCTGCTCCTTGTGCATGTTCGTGTGCACTAGCGTATGGATGATTTTACGCTTTGCTCCAGACGTCACACAATCGCCATGCGACTCGGATGCACTCTCATTAGTGGCATCCGAATCGAATGGCGTCACAAATACATCCTTCGTACCAGCGGTTTTCGGCTTTTCGCATTTCTTTTGTACATTAGGGCCAACTGCTGCCGTTGGTTTCAGAGGCCCCATGGTGCGTCGTCTCTTCACCGTGTGCGTGGAGGCATTGCTGCTATTCTTGCTCGGACGAGATTTGGTGCTAGACGATGATGATGCTGCCATAATTGATTCATTTGGCGTAAAAAGTCGACGCATCTTGGGCTCTGTGGACTGTTGATCCTTGGGTGTTGCCGGCGTATTCAAGGCCACTGCCTGCAGTGGTGGTGCTGGTGGCGGTGGTGGTGTAGCAAGCGCACAACTCTCGCCCAGCTCCGCTTGATTGGCGAGTGCCAGCGATCGTCGCTGCGATTTGCTATTAATTGAATTGATGCGCTCATTAATGTGATCCATGTCCACATTGAACAGCGTGCGACGGCGATTCGAGGTTGAGCTCTTCTCGCTGCCTGGTAAACGAGTGGAGCTAAACACCGGCACAGGTGTGTGCCCGTCGAAGCTGTTCAGCGATGTTTGCGTGTTTACATTCATTGGCGAATTTACAAATATATCTTCCAAATAGGGATTTCTGTTTTCATTATTGACATCGCTAATCTGCATTTGCTCTACGGTATATAAAGTACGACGTTCACGAGCTCGTCCAATTGTCAGTGCGTGGGATGAGCTTATTTCCATTGTTTCTTGCACATAGTTTGTTTTGTTGGGCGGTGGCGTTGGTTCTATAATGGACATTGCCGTGTCCAGGCATTGGGGCTCCTCTGCTATGGCTTGAAATGGAGACGGCTTCTTGACCTGTTTTGGCGTGCTCGGCTCTAAAGTAGCGTTTTGGGAGAAACTGCGACGACGTACACTAAGAATTTCCTCTTGTGAATCTGTTTTAGTTGTTGACAGCTGCAGACTACGACGACGTGTCATTCGTGGCTCGATTACTGGTGGAGCCGCTGCTGCTGCTACTGTCTCTGACTCCTTTTCCTCTGTGTTAGCTTTCTCTGTTTTGCTTAATTGGCTGCGTCGCCGTGTCAGACGTGATCCAATTGATGGTTTTTCAGCTACAATCTCAGGTGCTGAGCACACATAAGCCAAACTGCGCCGGCGAATTTCTCGCAGTGGTCGCTGTTTGTCTTGGGTGGACTCCACAGTCACCGAGGTGCTACGCCTGCTATTCCTGCCCACACTCTGCTCTTGGCCGAAAGTCGCTTCCCTATGCATCTCATCACGAGTGGAAATCTCCTCATTCTCCTTGTCCTTTGGAGCTGGCGTGTCTGCTTTGTTCTGCATCTTAAATGGCGTAAAGCAGCCGTTGTTTATTCTGAGGATACAAACAAAACGAAAATAAAAAAAAATCTCGTTTAAAATTTAGACATGGTAAACGAATGTTGACACGAAATCGGTTACGATAATTACCTATTGAGCAGCTTAGTAGCTGGCGATTCGGCCCCCACATCTTTCTCCTTGTTTTGGCTAAGAGTGTTGAAGAATCGCGTGATATTAGTCTGGAAGAGAAAAATATATTAAATGTCTTATTTATGAAGTAGATTGAGGAAAACTCACCTGCGCTGTGCTTGTAGCTATGGACTTTGCTGACGACTTTGGCGTTACATCTTTACTGCCAGTGGGCGTTCCAGGACGCTTTCGTCTCTTATTAAGCTCCGAGTCTGGTTGCATACAACGTACGCGCTATAAGAAAGAATGATATCGAATTAGACAGAAGAACCAGATTTAGCTAGACAACAAATAATAGAGCACATGTTTTCCCCAATGATGCCATGGATAAGACTGCTGCTGTTGCTGCTGACTTCGCAACTGTCACTTTTCTTTAGCTAAAAACCCACTGTTTTATTTGTTTATAATGTACGTGATAACTGAATCGTTGCAAACTTTTTTGTTTATATTAGCGCAACTTTTATCTCTCTCTCTTCCTCTCAATGGGAGACTGTTAATGTTAGTGCGCTTTTAACATTTCTACACAGCAATATTAATTCTACATAAATATTAAATATAAGAAACATCATTTGATTATAACTGCCAATAAGTATTATTTAAATAATAAATGCAAACATTTTTTATTTAAATGCGGCTAAATTTGTGTTTTTGAATGCTTAAATACCAACAGGTGTGTACGCACTGGCGTTGTTGTTGACTTTGCAGCCCTGGCTGCTCTCCCACGGCGACTGCGCTGTAGCAAGAGCGCCAACCAACGCTTGCTGTATAAAAATTGCCACAGCACAGCCGACAGCCTCAGTCTGCGGCTCACTCAGCGTTGGTCGCGCTCGCATCTAGTAAAATAAACTAAACGATCGAACGTTCTAAAACTATGTTTTAGCTAAAAACAAAAAAAAACTAGCAGTATTACGCGATAGCACACATTCTATGAAGTAGAAACAAATTTTAATTAAACGCACGCATCCGCGCTAGATAAGCAACAAGTGTTGCCCCATTTGCAACTAAAATCAAACCCATTCAGCAGGCAGCTGTAAGCGGCGTCGGCAGAAGAGAGAGAGAGAGAGAGAGAGAGGAAACGAGTGAGAGAGGCAACAAGAAGTTCTTGCCATATTTTTGTGTGTTTTACGTTTTGTTTGTTTTGCCGTAATTGTCAATCGGTACAAAAATAACAATTGTTTAAAGAAATAATACAAAATCTGAGAGGAGGGGAACAAAGAATAAGTAAGAACGTGGCAACGCCTCTGTTCGTGTCAACTGCTGCGCTTGGAAAAACAATTAAAAAAAAATACCGACAGAGAGGCATCACCAAGAAGAAAACTTGTTTTGTATCTGCGGTTTACCTAGGACCGTGCGATAACGATTACAAGTACATAAATAATAATAACGCTGCAAGCAGTGCCAAGGCCGCATCTAATATATCATCAGTATTCAACGCCACTCCGCGCCAGGCACTAGATCAAGGCAGAATCAAACCTAAAGATGATACCTGGCTATGGACCCGTCACGCAAGCCCTGCTGGGCACGCTGCTCACCTGGGGTTTGACGGCAGCTGGTGCGGCATTGGTCATCTTTGTGCGAGGCAATCAACGGCGTTCATTGGACGCGGCATTGGGCTTTGCGGCAGGCGTCATGATCGCCGCCTCATTCTGGTCACTGCTCAACCCAGCCATTGAAATGGCCGAGACCTCGCATCTGTACGGCTCCTACTCATTTATGCCCGTGGCTGGTGGCTTTCTGCTTGGCTCGATCTTTGTGTATGGCTGCGACAAGCTGATGTCATATCTGGGCTTGAACAGCACCAACATGATGATCCAGATGACGCAGAACAGCAAGGATAAGGCAGATATTGCCATCGACGAGATGAAAATGAATGGCTCAGCCACAGATAGGCATACGTCCAAGAGTCTCGACAGCTTCTCGGACTGCCTGAGCGTGCAGCACAGCGGCGAGTCGCGCAGAAGGAAGAAGGGCGGCAGCATTGGCGAGGTGGAGCAATGCACATATACAGCGGAGGCGACGCTGGAACAGCAGCGGGCCCAGGAGGCGTTGTCACAGTGGAAAAGGATCATGTTGCTTGTGGTGGCCATTACCGTGCACAATATACCCGAAGGCCTCGCAGTGGGCGTGAGCTTTGGCGCCGTGGGCACAACGAATAGCTCCACATTCGAGAGTGCTCGTAATCTGGCCATTGGCATTGGCATCCAGAACTTCCCCGAAGGATTGGCGGTCAGCTTGCCCCTGCATGCCGCCGGATTCAGTGTGATGCGTTCCCTGTGGTATGGTCAGTTGTCTGGCATGGTGGAACCAATCTTTGGAATCTTGGGTGCGGTGGCTGTCACCTTCGCTAACCTAATTTTGCCCTATGCCTTGTCATTTGCTGCTGGCGCCATGATCTACATCGTGGCCGATGATATTCTACCGGAGGCGCATGCCAGTGGCAATGGCACAATTGCGACATGGGGCACAGTGTCTGGATTTTTGATTATGATGTGCTTGGAAGTGGCGCTATCGTGATAAGGCAATGTCCACAACGACAACGAGGACACATGTTCCTATGCATGATATATATGTATGTATATAGCATTCCAGGAAAAGGATTTCACAAAAATCATTCATAGTGTTAATTTCTTTTAAATATCGTACTTAAACGCAAGCGCATTTTTTATTGTATTGTAAATAGTGAAACAGGCCTTAAGACATATAGTAATGTACATGTAGTATATATATTAGCAGATATCTCTGTAACTTTTATATATATACATACATATATACACATTTGTTAAAAATCTCAGAAAGTTTTTGCCTGCTGCGCGCTTAACGCAATCAGAACGAAAGAAAGAAGAAACCCAACCGTAACTAAGTATTTTTTATATATTTAACTTGGCTTCACTGTTTTTGCCCTGTTATGTAAATGCAAAAAAAAAAAAGTAACTACTGTATACATATTTATAATTTTTTTAATATCTGTCTGTAAACAGACGTGCGCATGTGAAATAGGTTTTAAGTTGTCAAGTGCCCTGTCTTTTTGTTCATCTTCGTTTTACTGAACTGTCGTAATATTTAAGTAATAAAACATAATGTCTGTACGTTCAGTGCAAGACAGAATTTATTAAGAAAATTTGCATTTGTTTTTCTTTAGTTTTGAACCAGGCTAACGTGCTCTCTCTCTCTCTCAGTCTGTTGTGTTGCCAACTTCCTGGCCTCTGATAAGACATATTGTACACTACGTGTTACACGCAAATTGAATTAGATAACCTAAACACAGCCCCAAAGTGTACAAGACCCAGAGCTAGGCTAAGTGCCTGACATTTGTTGTCTGTGATAAGAATCTGTCGAGCGAAAGTGCAGACGGCACTCAAATAGCAACATTTTGTTTCTATTATATTTTTTTGCTGCCATCTTAGGGTATACTCAGTAAAATGCAATCGAGGGGTATGCTGCAGCAGTGCTTAAAGCAGCTTGCAGGAGAAGTCTAAGCTAGAGGGTATCTTTTAGTCGATCAAATAAATCATTCTGATATGAATCATTGAAGCAAACGGTGGCTTCTGTTCAAGATTACGTTTAAATTTATTTTGATTTGAGCTGCCCAGTAAGAAGCTATTGTATATAGGGTATGCTGATGTGAAGGTTTAACGAGGTAAACATAATTCAAGCAGTAACAGGAAAACATGATAGTACGAGGGTATATATATAGGGTATTTTCTGGTCGACCACCATGGGATGTGATATGCAGTTTTGCTTATCAGAGATTTTCTTCTATGCAAAAAGAATGATTGGAGAAGAGTATGCACAAAAAACAATAAATGCCTACTAAGCTGTAGACAGGGTATCTTCGGGTCTAGTTCTATACGCTGCGCTAGTAAAATCTAATCAATATTATTTACTTTCAAGAGCTACAAAAATAAAATGGGAAATAATCCAAAAATACTTTTTATATAATGTTCAGAAGCATGCTACGTCAATCAGTACAGGGTATTAAAATTCAGGGAATGTTTAGTCAATCCCTTTATATGCAGGGTATTTGTCAGTCGAGTACTGTTAACATAGACACTATTACAGAGCCAACTTTAATATCTTTATTTTACAAAACAGAATCAGATATATATAAACAAAATTTTAATTTACTCCCCTTCCAGTAAACTAGAGCGCTATCGGACTAGACATATCAATTGCTTATCTGAGTCATCATAGCTTGTACGTGATAATATACACCCCCATTCGCTCGGCCTTATCGTAAATATGCTTAGGCAGAGCCTAAACAAGTAATCAATTTGTTTATTTTATAGTATTTTTATGGGGCCAATAAACCAATTAAGTAGCGACCATTAAGAACTGAAGTTGATGGCTTCCGAAGTAATCGGGAATATTTACAATATCTGACCAATGGATAGCAATAATTGCTGCTTGAGATCAACGATTATGCAAATAAATCAATTTTCAGTAGAAATCGAAACTAGTTAAGCTGCTCTTAAACTACTTAGTTGCAAATATAACGTCATCTTAGATAATTCTATACTAAATATGAATTATGCAATGTAGATGCACAAATTCAAATAAATACATTGTTAGCTCATCTTAAAAACCACGTGCTAAGTAGGTATAACATAAATAAAACAAGATATTTATATAGTATATGATAACTAACTATAAAACACTGCTCAACAAAGCTGAACTCTTAAACAAGATGATTCTGTAACCATTCTATTGTAAGAAATTGTAAGAAAATTTTAAATAAAATTATTGACTTTTTAATGTAAAATTGCTGCTTTAATTAAACTTTACCGACTTATATTTAAAGAGATATTTATCATAAACTTAGAAATTTTCACAGAGTTTTCAGTATACAAAATATATGAAAAATCATCTTGTTTCATAGTCTATTAGCATAAAATAGATTCAGAATCATCTCATTTCAATTCATTTTCTTCATCTATGGAAAAAATGATTTAAGTCACTTCTTGTTTCACTCTTGTGTTACACAGGTATATATATCTATATATGTATATAGGTACGATTGAAGTACTCACCGATACTTTGCCATAGAGCTCTGGGTATTCATACATATGTATATTGCTAATGGGAAACTGAGTGGGATCACATAGACGACGCTGCACTTTGCAGGCCTCGATCCATAAGATGGAAACAATTGGTATATTCCAGCTCTGTGCGCGTTTATAGGTGGACAAGAGGCCATCCTTGAAGACCACGTGGGTGGTATTGCTATTCAATGAAATTTTCGAATTAAAATTTTCATATAATTTCAAGTTACGTTCAGTTTACCGCAACAGACGATCGTTGGCCTTGGCGCCCAGTTTTGTAATGATATTCTTAACGCCCTCGGAGCGATTATCATTGCCCGTGCGCACTTCAACGTACACAATGACATCCTTTAATATCTCCGAGAGCGATGGCGGCGGCTGCGGATTACGCTCCTCTGCAGTTATAATGCTAATCTCACCATGTGGCACATCGAAATTATTGTACGCGGTTTTAGTAGGACTTCTATTAGTCGGTGATATAAATTATTAATTATGCACACATATGCAAAAGTAAGTTCTTACTTAAGTGCACTTATGGCGCGCATGCGCAGGGCGGCGCTCGGACTGTTGAAATCACGTTGTAGCTGTCTTAGATGTGGATCCCGTTTGGTTGCTAGCTCGGGTTCCATTGATTTCGGACTTGCAACTGCAATTTCTCCTGCAGCCCTGGACTTGGGCGTCATAATCATGTGGGCAATCGCTGGCGTCGTCGCAATTGAGGTTGCTGAAGGTCTGTCGATGACGGTAACAGTTTGATCTGTATTACAAATATTTAAATTTACATTTTTGACTGCGTGTAGAGCTTAGAATTATTACATTATATTCAATATATTATGCATTTACGCACATTCACCCATCATTCGAGTTTTCCACATAATATAAAGATCCAAAACGTATTTTTAATTTTCGTCAATACTTTAAATTTAGAGCTCGCCAAATTAAATACAAATTTTTGGTGTCTTAAAATGATTTAATTTACAAAGCTAACCTGTTGTTTTTGTTGTCTGGACTACCTTTGAATGCCAACGGAACTCGTTCTGTTTCATTTGTGTCACCGAATCGTCGCACATATATTATTTGATGAGCTTATTGCGTAATAGTAGTAGTAGAAGTTTTCTTCTCAATTATTTGTTTAAAAATTATTAAATTTTGCAAAATTTACGCGGCCGCTTGGCTTCGGACAGTCGAAAGAAGAGCAGGGCTGCTTAAGTTTTGAGCTATCGATTAAATATGTTAGCTAACATGGCAATGTTAGTTAGACCATAATGTTAATGGTGCTGTTAGTAATGGCGCTAACGAATTTTTAAATTTAACGCTTTAATTTTTATACTCACTTTAGGTTTTGCCAACGTACAATATTATTTTATTAAAATAAAAAATCACACATTTGAAAATATTCTTTTAATGCATAAACGTTTACAAAGGATTCACATACGTATATGTTATTTTCGAACTTATTTACATATGAAAATGTATTTACAGGAAATAAAACAATAAAAATTAATCGCCTAAAGTAGCAAAAAATTTGCCTATGACAACAAATCCTTCAATTACTTTGTTATCAAAATGTGCGCATATATGTTCGTATATAATCCATATTATATATTGTAGATTCGTGATATGTATTTATTTGTGCACACAACTCGACTCTAGGACGTTCTCAGTCTTAAACGATTTAAAAACTATGGCAAAATTTTAATTAATTATTACAAATTGCATAATCATTAAATCTCTCATCTCCGGTGCTAATCTATAACGCCGATTTAATTAGTTGAAGTGTTAATGGGTATTATTTTAGGCATATGCCCAAAAGTATGCTCTAATAATTATAATAGATGGCTGCATTTCGCATAATTTATGATCACAAAACTGAGCGAAATGCATTCCACTGACCAAAAATTAAAAAAATATGCTTTGACTAAATAAATTGTAAAATAATGCTAGGCGATGAATAAATTAGGGCCAGTTTCATCCGGCGCTCATTCTGCAAGAGATAAATAGAGAAAGAGAGAGTATATTAGAGATGCGTTACTTTTATAACAGAATATATCGAACCACCTACCATGTGCGCTGATTAGACTACGCGCATCCCAGAGAGAGAGCTGCGACTGCGACAGTCGATGCTGCGGTGGATAGAGTTTGTAGGGGAAATACGAATGATGGAACGTTGCGATGGGTATGGGCGTCGTCGATTGCAGTGACTGTTGTTGTTGCTGCTGCGCGGCTAGCAGGAACTGATGATGCTGCGCCGATATCTTGCGCGAGATTTTTGGCTCCTTTTTGGGCTTGCTAGCGCACTGCTGTTTGTTCGACTTAATAAAATTGGGAATGCGTGCCAGTAGCCCGCAATAGTACGGATCATCCTGCTTTTTGCGCTGTGGCGAATTCTTCTGAGGCTTCTTTTCCGTATAAATGGGCGCCAAGGAAGTCATTGAAGCCATAGATGCCACCTCGTAGTCCGGCTGCAATATGGAATAAGATTGATAATTAGCATTTAAAATAATAAAAATATCTATACTGCCAAGTGTTACGGTTGTAAGTATCTGCGATAGATATACATCGATATCACTTACCTTTGGCACATAAGGACTTTCGTTGAGGAAGGCCGCGCTGAAGACGCTGCGCCTGCCCTTGCTTGAATTGCTCGAGGACTGGGACTCATCCGAGGCAGCTGGCGTTGGATAAATTAAACCCACTTGACTCTCAATCGTTGAGTACGGATCCTCATTGCTGTGTGTGAGAGGCACTCGCATGCCCAATGCGTCCAACGATTTGGGTAACGATTGCAAACGATTCTTAAGCATAT